CCGCCGCTGCTGCTGGCGGGCCCCCCGGGCAGAGCGTGCCTGCGGGCCGTGCTGGCGGACTCGCGCTTCTTCTTGGTGTGCATGTGCTTCCTGACCTTCATCCAGTCCCTCATGGTCTCCGGGTACCTGAGCAGCGTCATCACCACCATCGAGCGGAGATACAGCCTCAAGAGCTCCGAGTCGGGGCTGCTGGTCAGCTGCTTCGACATCGGGAGCCTGGTGGTGGTGGTCTTCATCAGCTACTTCGGGGGGCGCGGACGGAGGCCGCTCTGGCTGGCCGTAGGGGGGTTTTTCATCGCCCTAGGGGCTGCGCTCTTCTCCTTACCTCATTTCATCTCGCCGCCGTACCAGATCCAGGAATTGAACTCCTCCGTCAGTAACGAGGGCTTGTGCGTGACTGGCAATGGCACCGCCAAAGAGCAGTGGGACTCGCCGGCCTGTGTCAAGGACTCCGGCGGAAACGACCACTCCCTGTACGTAGCTTTATTCATTTGTGCCCAAATCCTCATTGGCATGGGCTCGACACCCATCTATACCTTGGGACCAACCTACCTAGATGACAATGTCAAGAAAGAAAACGCCTCGCTTTACCTAGGTAAGGCATCAAAGTACCAAGGTGCTTTGAAGGCTGAACCCCAGATCTCTCTGAGGGACTTCTGCCCTGTTCCTTCCGAAAAACATTTGTGCTAAGCTTTCCTTCTGAAGTGAACTTTTGAAGTAAAATTGCCACACTTTCCTATTTTAAAATGTTTTGTGGAGTGGTGAACAGCAGTAACTGGAGAAGCTGAGGTAGCGTGCGTAAAAGTGGCTGTACTTGCACCCTCCTGCACAGGGAACGGGACGGCACAGAAGGTCGGCTTCTCTAACGCTTTTCGGCACTCGGCCTTAGCCGGTGACTTTTTCAGAAAGCAACGTTTAAGTTTGCCGTGCCCCTTCGAGTTTCTTTTTACTGATACAGAAGCAAGGTATTTCTAAATTTTGGTCAGCATGCCTTTAGCCTAGAGTCTCTATCTATAATATTAATGTTTTATAAGCACTTTGAGAGGTTTTGGCATGCTTTGTTTTACTTTTCCAGCATTCATTTAACTAGCAATGAGTTTTGGCTGGCATTGATAAAGAATCTGGCAACTCAGATAAAAAACGGTTGATGAAACAGCAAGTAAAACCTTCAGGGTTAAGAGCTCAGTTGCAGGAGCTCAAGGGATGCAACAAAATGAGAGTCCGATCTGGCAGTTTCGGCAGGTACAGACAGGTCTTCCTGATAGTCGTTCTTATGATGGGAGAAAGGGGTTTCTCAGGTAACTAACTGGTTACTAAACTTTTTTTGAGTTTGAACATGGTACTGAACAACATACGTTTTTGATAGTTTATGTAATGCATAAGAGGATTGACTGTCCTCTGACTTTGCACTAGTATCTTACATGATTCTGTAAGAAATGAACCTTACGTACTCCTTAAAATTCTTTTCAAATAAGGAGAGGCACTTACGGGGCTGAAAGAGCTGCCAAGAGGTTTTGGATGCTCCGCGTTACCGTTTGCAGTTCAATTTACTTCAGCTTTACGATAGCCGTGGAGATAATCATTCCATGTAAAATAGCCATGCATGAAAGGGATACACTCGGGGGCTGTGTATGTGTGTGTGTGTGTGTGTAATTAGTTTATTAAGCAAAAGTAGTGATACGGATCAGTATTTTTATTCCTTTTGACCTGTTCTTCAGCAATTTGACTGTTCCCTGAACCATTTTAAAGCCATGTATAGTCTATGTGCGGTGTCTTGAGAAAGCCTGAGGCACTGTTGGTTTTCGGAAGGAGGGACAGGTATTATCTGTGTTTTTTCTATTGTTTTCACAGCATTGCTAATCTGCTGGGTGAAATATTTGACAAAGTGTTTTTCCTCTCTTCCTCCTCTCTGAGAAATGTTAAGTGGTATGGAAATTTAGATTAACCTAGAATCAACTTTATTGGCAGTATGAAAAAGCAAAGCATCTTGTTGCTGAGGTTAGTAATTGTAGTTCGGAGCAGCAGAGAGGGGAGCTGAAACTTTCGCAAATAGGTGATTTCATACAGTCCTCAAAAACATGGGAAAAAATGAAATGGAAAGTATGTAGGTGAGGAATGAAGGGTAAAAGAGAGGAACGATGTGAGAGGAGGAAGAAGTCTTCACCAAAAGGGGAAGCAAGGTCAGTGGTCAGAAATCCTCACTGTGCGGGAGAAACGATGCCTACTGCTGAAACGCTTCTGGCACAGGAAATTGTAATAACGTGACTCAGGTAACTTTTAATTGCATCAAAGATCAGCCTTAAAGTTAACAAAGGTAAAAGACACCAGCAGCCGTTGGAAGACTCTGTGTGACCCTGTACATGCCAGGTGCTGAAGGCAGCTTTGATCTATACTGGGGGTACCCTCGTAGAGTTGAAGTTCATACGTAGTGATTTGGAAGAGTAAAGATGAGGTACCCAGCTACAGTGTACATGAAAAATTTATGCCTGCAATCTGATTGTGTCCACAGGGAGAAGAATTAAAATGAACACAAAGCATGTTTAAACATCGAGTAAAATGTACCTTTCAGTCTTTAAGTTTCTTGGGACTGAAAGGAATGTTGCTTGCCATTGGAAATCTTGGTATTATCTTTTTTAAACAGTGTGAAATTCTGAGGAAACTTTTAACTTGTTCAGGTTTGAATATTTACTCGCTTTAGGCTTAGGCCAATGACTTTTTGACAGGCAGGATTAAAAGCTGAGTTCCGTGGAAGAAAAGAAGAAGAGCATTGTTTGGTACATTGATGTGAGCAAACATGTTCTTTCGGAGCTTCTCAGTGGTTTGGAATGTTTCATGTGCTTGAGAAGGAGAGGGATTTGTGGGCAGCGGGCAGCCCAGCTGGGCACGGGGATGGAATAGAAGTGGCCAGGGCATGGCTCTGCAGGCCAGCCACCAGACATCTTGCCTTATGCAATGCCTGTTTCTCAAGGCAGTATGACTTTATTGCTGGGGCAAGCTACGCAAATGACATCAAAATGTAAAATGTATGTATGCATGTAGGCATGAGCTAAGAAAAAGTCTTGGAGCAGGCCATGGGAGTTAAAGTTTTCGAAAGAGGAGAAAGCCTGGTGAAACAGATCCCAGTCACACAGATACATGAGGACAGTTAATTTAAAAAAAAAGTATTAACACAAAGTGGAAGGTCACCACTAACGTGTTTGTTCGTAATCATGCTGGTATTGCATTCTATGTTTTTCTTCCAAAGAAAGGTAACATAATATAAAAGTGTTCAGATGAGAAACATTTGTTTACAAGCATGCACATGATAAAGTTCCACCGAGCTGCAGAACTGAGGAGCTCTTCAACCCCGCGAGTGTGCCCACTAATATTAGGTCAGTAAAGCCCCCCCCTGAGTATCACTAATCCTGATTCTGCAAAAACTCACCTTATGTGGCTGTGGAAGCTATTTTATTTATTTTCCAAGTTAATCCAGCTCAGGGCTCGAGTGGCAATAGCATATCCTCTTAAGTGTAGGCATGCAAGCTCAATGTGGACAGCTGTTTTAACATTCCTGGCTGGAAGTCCTGCTCTCAAAAAACATATTTGATGCTTATACATAGTCTCTTGGCTGCCTACACTTAAGTCCATCTGTCAAGGTGGCGTGGTGCCAGTTTACAAGGTGGTATGTCATTTTTAGTAGGACAAAGGTGCCAAGCAGGGATGTGTATTTGGGCTGCCTGCATAGCAATGTGCGAGCTCACTCTTCTGCGGGATGTTTCTTCCTTGTGAAGGCAGTGCCACCTCCAGGTCCTCCTGCCCCTTGAACCTGGTGGAACTTTGATGCCCTGATGCTAACTGTGAGAAAATGTATGACGTCAGGCTTGGAAACAAGTTGTGGTTGTAATAGGACCCTAGGAAATATAAGAACTGGCTCCCTTAATCACAGATAATCCAAAATGGAAGTTACACACTTTCTGTAAAAACTGGGCAATCACTAAGTTGTCTTTGTCCTCTCCAAAAGTCTTTCCCTTCTGTGCTCAGCTGTACCATAGCATGGCTGTCATCAACTGCCCGATGTGTGCAGGTTCTGCTTTTAATCAATTAATTAATTAATTAAATTGCAATTTGTCTTGAAGTCAAACTGGACTTCACGAGTCTTGTTTTGTACTCTTGATGGTGTTTCTGCTACTTGTCAAGTTCTAGCGCTTAAAACACTGTGTTTTTTCTGAACACTGTGGGCTCTTTGTAGGGATTCAATAGTTTGTTTTGAATGTGAGTTTACCTTGTGATTGTATCATGAATTTTAATAGCAGTTCCTTAAATTAACTGTGGCTCTTGGAAAGGGAAGTTTTATTAGTGGCATTACAGTGCCTGAATAATTTTAAAATATCTTGCTTCTTTTGCAAGTGAGTATTGTAATAAAAAAGAAATGTACTTTGAAAATTCATGCATAGAAAGGCTTTCACCAGTACCCCCAAAAATGACTAGTGGGTGAATTAGTCATTGTGCTAAGGATGTTTTATTTCAGTTTCCCGAATGCTATAGGCTGGTTAGGATAAGATATGAGAAAAGGATCTAAGTCAGTTTAATTTCATGCAGACTCTCCATAGTTTTGGGAACAAACCATAATTACAAAATGCAAGGATAAAGCTTTTATGAGATATGAGGTAAAAATTGGATAAACCTGTGTAAATGGGGTTGGTACAGATAATGGCTTGACAGCCAGGGGAGTAAAATCCTTTCCTAACCTGGAAAAAGAATAAATATTTAAACTAGTTTCAAAAATATTTTGGACTCTGGCTTTGTTTTCATGAGGATCATTTGTGGGTTGCTGTTTCTAGCATTAGGTAAACCATTTCACTGTGACTATACTCTGCTTGGGAATCCCCTTCTTACCGGTGTTTTACAGCTGGATGCTCTGGGTACCCCTCATGTCTGTTACAGACTTCCCCAAAGCTTCTATACATGTATGTATGTCAATTGTATTTGTTGTATTTCTGGTCAAATCTACCCCTATATCCACGTCCCACCTGGAAGGAGAGGGCAGGAGGAGTAGCTTCAGGTACTCCATCAGAAACCCACCACCTCTGCCTGCTGGGTCCCGGGGCAGAGTCCAGCTGCTGAACAAGCTGGGCCTCCATAACATGCCGTTGCCTGGATGTTGGCACGGGAAGCACCGGATTTTTGTGCTGCTTTGATTGATTCGTTTTGGTCTGGCCGCTTCTGGGGTTATGCATGCCGCTTGGGGACAGGAGCTGGAGCCTCCCGAGGGCATCAGGTCCTCTGTATGGATGCTGCAAGATCACTGAGGTTTTCCAAGGCAGGATCAACTTTCTAGCTGAACAGGAGGGACCATCTGGAAGCCGTGAAACGGCTGACCAGCATTTCATTTTAGTGTCATCATTCAGCCTATGACCACTTGTGGTTTACGTTGAAAGCACTTCCTGCTACCCGATACCCGAAAAGGCTAGTTTGCTACAGGGTTTTCTCAGCATTGATCCCTGTAGTTGGTAAACCCTGCAGACATAGTCCCTTGCCTGTGAGGAAGCAGGACTTCATGAATCAAAAATTGAAGCAGAAGGGCATGTTCACCAGCATTTTTTATTGCTTGCTGTA